CCGGAACACGATGGTTTCTCCCACCTCAGGTCATGACCAAGAATCCAGGCTTGCCCCAGGCAAGTCTCCAAACCAAGCCCTTTCCCTGGAAGCTGCCAGGCTGGGTGGGCATCCTGTGGGAGCAGGTTCAGCCAGGCTCTGGGGCAGCTGCTGGGGTGGGGGCTATGGGGGGGTGGGGTGGGCAAAGGCTGACTCAGGAACACCTGCTGGGGAAAACCAAGACTCACCCAAAGGACATGGCCTTCCCGGCCTGGCTGCTGGACCCAAGGGGCTTCTGCTCAGGATACTGGCCCTGCAGGCCTATAGGTGCCCACTCCCTGCCTGGGACGCCAGGACCCAAAGCAGCCGCCTTTGCTTTCACCTCTCCATGCTCACAGGCCCTGGGGGGGTGACTGCCCGGGGTGGGGGGGGGGCCCTGCCTTCAATCACAATCTGGCTGGGCTGCTCTTAGCCCTGTCCAGAGGGCCTGCCGATGGACTCCAGGGGGAGAATTCTGCCTGTGGGTCCACTCAAGGGTTTTGTTTCTGTCCGACACAGATGCACGCACACATGCTGAGGGTCAGCTCTAGAGCCAGTCCGGGCCGGGGGAGACTGGAGCAGCACTGGTCTGTCTGCCTTGGCACATTTCAGACCCAAGGCTAGAGCGAGGCCTCCATGAATTCTTTTTCTTTTCTTTTTTTTTGTTCAAAATCAAATTTAAACCTACAGTACCACTTCACAGTGCCCCGACCCAGCAGGGCTCCCAGAGAGGCCTAATGATTCTCATTTAGCGCAGATGTGGAAGCTGAGCGTGGAGAGATCCCGACTGCATGACCATCTCCAATAAGGGTTAGGTCTGAAGCAGATGTCTGTACTCTCTCCCTAAGGCTTAACAAGTTCCGTGTGTGTGTGTGTGTGTGTGTGTGTGTGTGTATGTATTTTCCATAAAAGGCATTTAACTGGAGACACCCTCTTTCAGAAGGAACAAGCTCCGTTTGCACTGCCCAGCAGAGGCCCGAGGGCCTATCAGTGGCAGGATAGAGAGGATGAGGCTGTGCCCCTAGGAGGGGGAGGGGGGCCCCAAGCCTGAGCCCCAAGGGCATGGTACTCTGCCACAGGATGGGCAAATAACAACAACAATAATTAGTAATGAGTAATCCTGAGGTAGGGCTACTTGGAGGCCCCAGGCCAAGAGCCTCAGGCTGGTGGAGAGAGCCAGACCTCGTCCCACTGGTTATGGCCACAGAACACAAGATGAGAGGAGACCCGTCCTGGAGTGTGGCACCTGCCATCATCTCTAGGACGCTATTTCCTCCCTGTGCCCATAAAGGAGACTCTGACCAGGACGGGTCATCGGCCGGAAGTCCTCGCAAGAAGATGACAAGGATGCACGACCGATAATTAGGAAATGAGATGGTGACACAAGGCCTCTCCCTAGCCTAGGCTCCCTGAAGGCACAGAGCACAGAGGCCAGGGAGCAGATGTCACAGGCAGGGCCTGCCACACTTACCCTCCGGCTTACAAGGCCAGACACTTAATTCCGTAAATGAAAGTGCCTGTTTGGGCACGGGGGTGGGTGGAGCCCTCAACATGGACTAGGGATGAGACCAATCGAGGGTGATGGGACACAGGCTGGCAGAGTCTGCAAAGGAACAGGACTTCTGGCTCAGCCGCTGGCGAGGAAGTCGGCTCTCGGGTCCCATCTGGGCGGCCAGGTAGGTAGCATCCATGCAGCCCGCTGAGGGACCTCGAAGGCCCAGCACGGGCCCGCCGGCTCCCATCCTGCAGAAGGTGCGCCCTGCACCTGCACTTCCAGATGCCCGGACAAAGTGAGTTCAGAGACTCCAGACCCTGAACTCCAGACAGACAAAGAGATTCTCTTTTAAGCTTTATCTCAAACTTGGGATTGACCCCTGCGCAGCCGTGGCCCCTGCTCTTGGTACTGAGGATGAGGAGGGAACGAGGAGGCCCTGGCACAGTGGGGCGAGGATGGGAAAGAGATGGAGCTGGGACAAAGGCAGGAAGGCTGAGGGGTTTTAGTTCTGTGGATCTGCTGCAGGGAGGTTATCTCAGAGCATCTGACCCATTCCTGTGTCTGCTGGTGGGAGGAACGAGGGGTCGCGGGCAAACCTTTGCTAGAGTGTTCCCACCCAGCCCACCCTTCCTTTCTGGCTTCCTGCTGGCCGTGGGGGGTAGGGGAGATGACAAATCAGGACGGGCTGGCTCTTCCTGCTCCTCCAGCTGGGACTAGAGACCCTGACCACAGGGGGATCTGGACTGGAAGCCCAGCTTTGCCGACTACCCAGAGAGGGACCAGATTCTCAGTGCAAATGTTTGAGAGTTTAGGACTGGCTGTGCATGAACACATCAGTATGTGGGTGCTGGTGCTGGACGGACCCATTGAAACCAGCCAGGGTGTGGGCATGGGCACCCTCCCGGGGCTGGAGAGCCTATGGAGAATACTGGCTTCCTCAAAAGCCATTTCTTCAATAGCAATGGCTTCTTCTCTTTCTTATCTTTCTCACTCCCTGAACCGTCTCCTGGTGTGCTGGCATGGGAGGACCCCGGAAAGCACTGAGTCCTTATACTTCCTATAGATATCACAGCATAGGGCCATTGCCCATGGCTACAGACCAGGCTATGGGCATCCAAGGTTTCTGGGTACCCAGGATCCTGCCCCCTCCTTTGTCAAGAGTGTTGCAGCCCCCGATTCCCTATACTCCATGGTGGTGACTTCAGCCCTGACTCTGGGGGAAGACATGTGACCCGGGCTGGCCACTGTATGCCTGTCGATTTGATTGGCTTACAGATGAGCATATGATCCAAGCCAAGCCAATGAGACTCAACTCTGGGATTCTGGTTAGGACTCTAGGATAAAAGATCTTTCTTTCCCCCACTTCCCTAGGGCTGCTAAGGGAAGGACATAGCCTGGAGTTTCTCAGGACCAGCAGGGAAAGCCTGCCTGGGAATACACCAAAGGGCAGAGCTGAGAGATGCAGAGAGAGGTGTCATGCCACTGCTCAGCTCCTGGTCCAGCTGAGGCTGATGGGCTGTTCCAGGACCTTCCAGGATATGTGTCTGTGTTTCTGTTACTACAAAGTCCTGCCAAAAATGGGAGAAGGGACCAAAAAGGCAGTGAACAGAAGAGCAGTTGAGAAGGCCATGGCTTGCCTGGCAACTGCTCCTCCATCTGGGGAAGTGAGTGAGGGACCTCACACACCCTTCCTCGTCCTCCTTAGGTGCATGGTGGGAGCTTAGCCCAAGCTGCTTAGACGCAGCATTTAGAAGGCACTGTCCCTGAGAAGGTATAGCCCGGGAAAAGAGACAAGGTGGGGCAGGGCTGGGTGCAGGACAGGTGGGCAAGGGTCCCTCCCAAAGGCTGCACCTGCCAGGGCACCCATTTCAGTGGGAGCCGTGGGACACTGCTGAGCTAGACTCTGGACCCGATCCTCAGAGACAACTCTGTTTAGGTGTGTGAAGCAACGTGTGGACAGGCCATGGGTTAAGTGAACAGACTGTAATGACCACGGGAATCCAAGGACAGGGGAGACAGGCCAGGCATTGCCAGGAAGAAGGAATAGCAGGAGCAAAGAGAATGGAGGCTTGACATCTCACATTTCCCATGACATCTGGGAAAGATGTCCGCTGCCTGGAATCAAATGGTGCCAAATGGTGTGGTTTGATGTGCGGGAGAGAAGCTGTGGGGATGAAGTAGGGCCCCCTGACAGAGGGGCTGAACGTGGATGTGATGGGCACTTAGGACTGCCTTTCCCTAAGTAAGAATGGGAGGAAGACAATCACAGGGCTGTCCAGGAGGGCTCAAAGATGAAGAGAAGGACTGTCAGGCCAGCCAGTGTCAGTATTAGGTGAGTTACCTGGCATGGAGCAAGGGCTGTGCCTGGGGGAGGTACCCCCAAGAGTCCCAGGATGACTGGGCCTGGAGCAGAGAGCTCAGAAGCTGCCTAAAGGATCCAAGCCTGCTCTCTCTGGCTCCACTCTGTCACTTCAAGCCCTGCTTGCAAAGAAGCCAGGGTTCCTGGGACCCAAACACAGCTAGTCTGGGCCTGGGCCCCATGTGGCCTTCAGCTGCTCACAAGTACCCATTCTGAAGAGGCTCGGCGGCCTACGAGGTGGGTGTGACCCGGGGCTGGTGCGTGGATCTCCCCTTGGGGTCAGCTTCCCAGAGGCCATCTCTTTGAGGTTTATTTCAAAAGATGTTTGATGTTCCTCCTTTTGGAGGAAGGAAGAAGGAACCCACCACAGACCAGGCGAGAAGGAACGCAGGATTCCTGAATATCTATTTTCTGTTTCTTCAAGCCAATTCCTTTCTTCCCAACCCACCTAATCTTGCCCTGACTAAGGTCTCCGGCCCTGAGGGCAGGACTCCCCCTCAGGTGCAGGGAAGGGGCGGGATATAAGGATAGGCACTTGCAGGTGAGATGGCGGAGGGTACGGGGAGAGGGAGAGGCCCCCGCTCCAGCTGGGCTTCTGGCTGACGTGGGGAGAGGGGCCTGTTCTCCAGCCAAGCCTGAGGGAGTATGTCCCTTGGCTGGTGTTGAGTGCCAGCGGGAGAGGGCAGAGCCAGGCACGGAGCTGCCAGGGCCTCGAGGCACCCTCCCTGCCCACTCCCCACAACCTCCCAAACCACACCCCAGTGGCTTCAGCGGCTCCTGGCAGGGTCACCAGACGCAGGAGCAGGCCAGTCCCAGCCACAGCAGGAGCAAAAGCCATCAGACTTGTCTGTCAACTCTATTAACACGAGGGCACGCCACAAACACATACAGAGATACACACAACACATGCACGCAGACACACACGCACTCATGCAGACATGTGCGCACGTGCACACACACACACGTGCGTGTGGCGGGCCCGCAGCCTCTGCAGAAGATGTGCAGAGATCCAGGAGTGAGGGGCAAAGGAGTTTTTTCAGTGGGGCAGAGTTTGTTTACCCCAGAGCATCACCCAAGTGTGGAGTACTCACCCGCCCCCGCATAAAAATCAACTCTTTACACACGTACTTCTCCAACACACAAGCCATCCCCAAGCCTCGGAAGCACGGAGCTGGACAGCACGCGGTGTGCACAGTGAGGAAGCTGATGGGAGCCACCTGTGGTCCCCAGGCTCAGTCTGGGTGGTGGGGCCTGGAGGACCATCACAGATGCAGAGCCCTCAGTGGGTCCCACGCTGCCTGTCCCATGAGGACACTCATCAGGTTGTGTGGAAGACATGCCCTGGAAGACGGAGAGACAGGAACCCAGCTCCTGGTGCCTCAATGCAGCCCCAGCTCTGGGACATCCCCCTTTGTGGACCTCCATTTTCTTCCCACACGACGCTTAACTTCCTCAAACTTCCCAGATTTAACCAAACTGGGGAAAAACGCCCCATCCCACCATAACGATCCTGGTTCTGTAGACCTTCCGAATCCCCAGGGGGAAAAAACATGGAACAAAAAAGTTCCTTCATTATAGCAAAAGGCCTGAGGAAAAGCAAGAAACAACAGGAAGGTGAGCACATAGAAACAGAACATACAATGGCGGGTCTAACAAGACCAAAACATCAAGAATCTCAATTAAAGTGAATAGGCCAAGACTCTGAGATTGGGCAGAATATAATTAGACAAAATCTGGCCCAAGACGGTTCACGCAAGCCACCGAAAAGGAGACTCCTGGTTCTGGGTTGGAAGGCTGAGGAGACAGTAGCAAACCACATCCAGTTACACGTTTGTCTGCAGAGCGGTCGAAGGACAGGCTCACACGGGGCCTGGGACAGCCCTGGTCTCTTACAGAATGGGATCCAAGGACCCAAGGAAGCACTGGGAAGCCAGCTCTGCAGCGGCCTCCTGCATTAAAACAACCTCTCCACCTCTCTCAGCTGAATGGGCACCTGCCTCCCGACAGGCTGTCTCAGACCCTGGCGCTTACTCTGACTTAGATGTTTATTCTCCTCTGGGAGAGCCCCTGCTCAAACCAGGCGAGCACAGGGCCCCCGATAACCACCAAGGGGGCTGAGCCACCATTTCTTTATCAAAAGCGCTTGAAAATGCTGAAAGTGTTCTCCTCGTCTCGCCAGGAAGCAGTCTTAGACTACATAAGCTCCGCCGTGATTTGCTAGGACACTTTGTGCTCTGACCCAGCTCGGACAAACAGCCGGTCCAGCCCCCCTGCAGGGCTGCAGCGGGACCAGCTTGCTGCTTTTGTTGCTCTTGGTGGTTAGCTTTCCCAGGCAGGAATCTCACCAGCTTATAATTATAATTACAAACAATGTGCTGTGATTGGTTCTCTCAGGAGCAGGTAAGGCTTCTGAAGTCAAGGACCTCCAACACAAGAAGTGCAGGCCATAAACCCTCGTGGCCTTCGTGAAACAAGGACTTTCAGAGACAAGGGGGCTGACACATAGAGGCTGGTCAGAGGGCATGCAGAGGGAGAGGGTTCTGGAAACCGGGTAGGAGAGTGGACGGCCCGAATGCAGTGGAAGAAGAGACTTCAGAGAGGGAGAGAGGAACTCAAATCGCATTCATTCCTTTGTTCATTCATTCACTTATCCAGCGCCCAATATACCAGGGCTATGGAGAGGCCCCCATGCTGTGCCCACGGTGTAGCTGGGGAGACCCACCAGTAAAGGGTCAACTGCAAAGCCACAGGATCCGTGCAGAGAGAGAGTCAAGCCCTGGGCACCAGACAGCAGCTCACCCAGCCCCAAGGGAGGGCAGGCCAGGGAGGGGAAGAAGGCTGGGAGCTTCCTAGGAGAGGGAGGAGACTGGGCAAAGGAGGAGGTGGGGAGAACAGGGGGAGGGGAGCCTGGCAGAAGTGTTTATCTGCAGGGCTGGAGGAGGGCTATCACCCAGCTTCTCACAGGAAGTCTCCCAGACAGGGGTGAGCAGGGCCTGGCGGATGGGGCTCAGCACGGCCGCCCTAAGGGCTGGGAAAGCCCTATTTCCTCCAGGCCGCGCTGCCTCGGGCCAAGCTCACTCTGGCCTTAGTTTCCCCACTGCCCCTGGAGGGAAGGAAGGCAAAGACTTTGAGTCCTAGGGATGAAAGTCTCAGCCCAGGCCCAGACCACCACTCCCTGTAAAACAGGGCGGGTGACGCCGCTGCTCTTTTTGGCTGGTGAGTAGCCTGATCACCTTTGAAGATGAAACATGCTCGGGCCTAATGAGGAGTCAGTTGGCCAAGGTGGGAGCAGGGCTGGGCTGTGGGAGCCCGGCACCTGCCTCACCTGGCCCTAGCACCCGCCCAGGGGAACAGAACGCTTCCCATTTCTGTGCAGACCCCCATGCCCGCACCAGCCCCACCTCCTCCCCTTCCCCAGACCAGGGCCCTTTCCCTCCTCTGCTCCTGGCTACCTCCCTGTCAGGCTGGGACCGATCCTAGGTGAGCAAGAGGGGCAGCCAAGGCCTTGGAGAACTGCCTTGGCCTCACGTGCCCCCTTCACTGCCCTGGGCGGGGCCCACACCCTACGCTTTTGGGACACCCTGCCGAGACACACTGAACCCTCCATGTTTCCAGGCCACATGGGTCATTTCCAATATGGTAGCTGACCAGGGGGACACAGCTTCCTTTACATGCATGAGAACAGTGCTCAGAATAAAGGACACCCTCAGGCCACTTATTCCTCTTCTTCCCTGGGTGTGGAAGACATGTGCTACCAGATGGGCTCCAAAGAGCAAGGAGCCAAGTGGAAGCCTCCGGCCTGGCGGTCACCGCTCTGCTGGGTGAGGGCACAGGAGTAGCCTCCAAAGTGTTTGAAGCGCACACTCTTCACTGGGCAGATCAGATTCAAGCCTCTTTTCTGCCACCGCTCCCCTTCTCTTTCCTTTTTCCTTCCCTCAGTCCAGCCTGGGGCCTGCCCACTTGTGTCCTGCTCAGACAGACACTTCCCGCGCATGGGCCAACCCCACCTCCTTTCTAGAGGCCCTGGAACATCCAAACACAGCCTCTGAGACCAGCTCATTTCCCAGGAAGTCATTGGGAGAACAGAACGGGGCATGCACACAGCTCAGGCTCTCCTGGGAGGCAGGCCGGCAGTCTCGTAAATGCATTAATATTAGGCACAACTCAAAGATAACCTTACCTACATGCTCCAGAAGAGGTGCGTCCACCTGGGATTATCATATCTTCTTAATGGTTCATTTGTGTTAAGTAAATTAATTCATTTATCTGATTTGCAGAGCAATGCCCAAAGGGTGGACTTTTGGATCGTCAACATCCAACCTCCAAGTGAGCTTTTGGAATTACTACTTTCCTAAATTAGAAAGATGTCTATCTCCATTCCTCATCCTCGAGGCTCCAGGGAGAGAGGAGCTCACTGAGATCTACACCCCTCCCCCGGCCTTCCCCACCTCCCAGAGCCAAGCTTGGGGCTCCCACTTTGAAGCCCCTACATCCTACACCACTGCCCCTGCTTGACCTTCACCCCTAGGGTCCACAGGTCTCCCCATTCCAAACTGCACAACCTGCAGGCTCAGGGATACCTCTTTGTCCTCAACTCCCACCAAAGCTGGGCTTTCGGAAGAGCTGGGCAATGTCTGGAAAGTCCATTAGGAGGAACTGGGGAGGGGTGCCTGGGTGGCTCAGTCGGTTAAGTGTCTGACTTCAGCTCAGGTCATGATCCTGGGGTCCTGGGATCAAGCCCCATGTTGGGCTCCCTGCTCAGAGGGAGTCTGCTTCTCCCTCTCCCTCTGCTCCTCCCCCCGCTTGTGTTCTCTTTCTCAAGTAAATAAATAAAATCTTTAAAAAAAAAAAAAAGGGGGGCGCCTGGGTGGCTCAGATGGTTAAACGTCTGCCTTCGGCTCAGGTCATGATCTAGGGTCCTGGGATCGAGTCCCACATCGGGCTCCCTGCTCCACGGGAAGCCTGCTTCTCCCTCTGCCTTTCTCTCTCACTCTGTCTCTCACGAATAAATAAATAAAATCTTAAAAAAAAAAAAAAAAGGAAGAACTGGGGGAAAGGCCAAGGACTCGGCCCCAGTGGCAACCACGGCGAGGAACAGGGAGGAGGCGCCCAGCTCCACTCCCCTCACCAGGATTTCAGCTCCTGCATCCTCTCCAAACTGTGCTGTACGACTCCCGGAGAACCCCACGCTAACACATCCGTACCGGACCATCGAGAATGCAGCAAAACCCTGGAGCAGGGCCAGGGGGACGTGCATGGCCGTGCACACAGCGCCCCAGTGCGCCTCCGTGAGGGGCATGGGCAAGGGCACTGATTACAGGCTCTGCAGGGAGGCAGCTTGCTGGAATTTTAAGGCCCTGGGGTTTTAGGAGGACTGGCGGCAATAAGGCCCTCCAGGCTGGGCAGCGTGGCCGGCCCTGCCTTCCCCGCTAGCTGGTGGTGCTACACCCTGGCTGGGTGGGCAGGCGCGGGGGGCTCACCTTGTGGTCGAGCTCAGCACTGGCCTTTGGCTGTTGCCCTTGGCATGGCGGCAAGGTCTCAGCGCCCAGGTACTGCCTGAGGGATGATGGCCTCATGAGGCTCAGCAGCTGGCTGAGTGAAGACAGCTGGGAAGGAGAAGAGAGGCTGTCATAAAGACGGGCCTTGGGACACCTGGGGACTCGGCTGGCACCGGCAAGTCAGAGCATGGGCTCTGGAGCCAGACCACCAGCTTCCGTGACCTGGATCCACCTCTCCCCAGCATGCTGTGTGGCCTCTTGGAGCCCGAGTGTCCTGTAGCTGCAAGATGGAGACAGCCACACACCCTGTTCCCAGGACAGGAGAGCCGCGCGTGCACACGGGGCCTGGCACGGGCCGAGCCTTCCTTCAAAGGCATGAACTCAGATCTCTGTAGGCTGGGGATTTGATCCACTTCCCTGGAGGGAGCACTCAGGCCTGGAAGAACCAAGGCCACCCCGAGCCGCTGCTCAAGTCCCTCTCCCCGCTGAACTTGCTGTGGGCTTGGAGGGGCTCACGGGGGAGCAGAGGCTCTGTGCCCCCCGCCCCCTCTCATGCCTGCTCCCCATCACGCTGCCTGCCCCCCATCACTCTGCCTGCCCCCATTTCTCCGCCCCGCCCTTTCCCTTCCAGGGGATTTTAAAGCTAATCCAAACACTGTATCATTTTACCCATAAAGAGCTTCTCACCCAAAAGGATAAGGATTTCTTTCCCCAGCATGGTCACAGTACCATTCTCTTGCCCAGCAAAATTACCAAGAATTCCTTATATGATCTAACACTGTGTTCGGGTTTCTCTGACGGTCTCAAAAAATGTCCTTACCAGTTGTGTTTTGGGAACGGGGATTCCCCACAAGGTCCGCACGCTGCATATGGTTGCTATGTCCCTTAATCTGCTAGCTGCCCGCCTCCTCCATGTAAACTGCTTACCCTCTCTGAACAAATGGGAGTGCCCCCACCCCTCCCAGGAACAGGGCCTGCAGGAGTCCAGGTGTCAGCAGTGAGCCACTCCTTCGGGCCCAGCCCCTGCACCTGGTTTGGGCCGCCTGGGTTCAGCCCCAACAAGGACCATTCAGCTGCCCTGGAGCTAACTTGTGGTCAGGACAGAGGCAGGCAGTATGTGGGTCCCTGGCGCCTCTGGGCCCACCTGCAACCCTGGGAAAGGGGCAGATGCAGATTGAAGGAGCAGAGCCAGCCGAGTTCACAGAGGCACCATCTTTTTAGATGTAGCAGGTGTAGGCTGCCCTGAAGGGCTTAGGCCTGAGCCCCCAGCCCAGCATCCTGCTCGAGCCCAGCCTTGCCCGGCACACCTGGCTTCCTCTCCCTGACTCACCCGCAGACACCTGCTCAGCATCTCAGCCGGCCACAGGCTTAGACAGCCCACAAGAGCAGCTGGGCTGAGGGCTAGGAGACAGGCCTAGGGCCTCGGCTCCTGGAAGGGGGCCAGGGCTTCTCGGCCTCGTGTCTGATCCCTTTAGGAACGGAGAGGAGGCAGGAAGAGAGAGAAGGTTCTAGGCGAAGAGAGGCACCATCTGGAGCTTCCCCCAAACCAGAGCTGGGCCGTCTTGCTCAGGCCTTGCGAGGCTGGGGATGGTTTCCAAAACGGCCCTGCCTGCTTGGGGATCACAGCTGTGCAAGCACAGGGGCCAGGCTCTGCAGCCCACGCCCCCAGAAGCCGTCCTCAGGCAGGCAGCCTCGCCCCAGCTAGCCCCTCCCGGCTCCAGGAGGCCCGGGCAGGGCCGGGCGGGGGAGTACACAGCAGCAGCTCAGCGGCTTGCTAGCTCCCATGTTTTTCCTCTCCACGAAAACTGCTTCGCCCTGCTCAGCGCAGCAAGCTGCCGCCTTCTGATTGCTTACCCTCCTTTGTTTCCAGTTCTGGCAGCCACACCCCTCTCCGGGATAAGGGCTTTTTTGGACCATGCATCCCCGCAGGGAGGGCCAGGGCCTGACATCACACCTCCCCACCTCACCCGCCGCTGGGAGCTGTCTCTACAAACACTCAGCCCATTAGGACAGACACCTCCAGGCAAGAGGCAAATGATCACCCAAGCAGGCAGGCCTCCACTGGTCTTGTCCGCCCGGTGGGCAGCAGGAGGCAGGCAAGTTCCGGCCGGGCAACTGGCCACACGGCCGGTCACTCCTGTGCTCAGGCCCCGGTGGTGCTTCTATCTGCCCAGTGGAGAAGGCCAGGATCTTAAGTGTCAGTGAGGCTCGGGCAGCCCTGCTGTCCCCTGGAGCCGGCACCCTCACCGGGCCTTGCGACCAGACACGTGCAGCTGCCCCTATCCGCCTTCCAGCCCCAGCCCCCCTCCCTTGACACTGCCGCCCACGCCACCCACGCCTGCCAATCCTCTCGCCCGGAACGACTTTTGCGTCCACCACATTTACCACCTCCTAACGCGTTCTGTAATTTACTTGTTTACCATGCTTCTTACCTGTCCCCCTCTCCCTCGCTAGAACATAGGGCCCACGAGGGCAATTTTGTTCCCCGCAGTGTGCCCCCGGGGTCGAGCACAGCCCCTGGCACATGTTATATGTTTCCTAAGTCTTCGTTCCCTGAAGGAATGCAGGGCAGGGCAGAACTGCCGTCAGCCTCTCCCTAGGAGATGCAGACCCTCGAACTCCTGCATTTGGGCCATTTACAGCCTGGGTCTTCCCGACTCCAAACTGGAAGACGCGGCTTGACGAAAGAGGCTTGCTGTGTTGCAAGAGGTGGCCTGGGAGAAGCAGCAAACTCCCGACTGGTCTCCAAACCTGTTCCCCCTGTGTCTTGCCGATCTCGGTAAAGAGCCTCTCCATCCTGCCAGTTGCATAGGTCCGGGAGCCCTCCTTGTCTCCTTCCTCTCACATCTCCTGTCCCACTGGCTGTGCTTGGGAAACACACCTAGAGTCGGACCACTTCTCACCACCTACGCCGCTATCTCCCCAGGCCAAACCATCTTCATCTCTTACCAGGATTACTGCAATTGCCTAAGCTCAACATAGCAGCCCGAGTAATTTAAAAATATTTTATAAATTAGATTCTGTTTCTCTTATCAAAACCTTCCAATGGCTCTCCAGCCAGAGTGGCTTCTGTTTTTCCTCTAACCTAAGAGAACTCTGGCTGCCCCAGGGCCTTTGCACTGGCTGTTTCCTGTGTGGAATGCTCTTCCCCGAGAAACCTGCCTGACCTTTTCAGTTCTATGCACAAATGTCCCCATCTCCCAACATTCCCTCTTCTCTTTATCTGGCTTTATTTTTCTCCAGGGCCCTTATGACCATCTGGTATGGCAAATATTTACTTTTTTTCTTGGTGCCTGTGTCCGTCTCCCTCTAGACTGTGAGTTTCACAAGGGAGGGACTGAGTTCTCTTCAGGGTTGTATCTTCAGTGTCCCGAGCAGGGTCTGGAGCACACTGTGCACGAAGCCAAAACCCTGCTGTTTCTGGGATATTCCCAAGATTCCCAAGGACAACAGGAAGCAGCCTGACCCCAAGGCTCTCCTGGAAAATGAGGCCTTGGGGGAGGGCAGGGGTACATCCTGACCACCTACAGAAGTCCCATTCCTCAAATTCTAGTTCTTCAGCTCCTACTCCTAGGGCCTCAGACTGCAGCCTGAGACAGAGAGTCAAGCCATCCAGGGGTCAGGGACTCCTCCTGCCCAGCAGGGCCCTGAGAGCCTCTGCCCAGGCACTCACCCCAGAACTTCTCCTAGAGGAGTCAATTCTCTATCCCCCGGCTCCCCTTCAGAGTCAATCAACTGATAAGGTTTATCAAGCATTTGTACCTCAGTGAAGGAAGTAGAAGCCACAGCCCTTGTTCTCCTAGCTGCCACTTAGGGATAAAGCTCAAGGGACCAGCAGGGCACCTTCAGCATGAAATGGCAGGCCTGGTCTGGGCTGTCACCACGATGACAGCCAAGGAAGGGGCTGGAGAAGCAGAGACGGCATGTTGCAGTGGTCAAGGGCAAGGACCCTGCGGCTGAATCCTAGCTCCACGGCTTTCCCCGCTGTATGGCCCTGAGAACCTTCCTAACTGCACCTGCCTCAGTTGCCCCATCTGTGAAAAATGTCTGATGGTAACAGTCCTTACAGCCGGGGGCTGCTATGAGAGGTAAGCTCTGAGAACAGACCCTGGGACACAGCCCGTGCTATGCAGAGTGTTGGCTACGGCCGTTTCAGTTGGGATGTGATGATGGAAAGGAAGGAAGGTCAGGGCACAGAGCTGTGTGCAGAGAGAGCGGGGCTGGCCCGCGAGGAGGGCTGGGAAGAACAGGTGGCGCGGTCAGGCCGCATGGAGAAGCTGGGAAAGGGGGCGTTGCGGGGTTCGATGCGTGGAGGCTGCAGGGCCAAGGTGGTGGCCCTTTGAAGGCAAGGATCCGTCTGACAGGCCAGACTGGAAAGGGGAGCGCCTACAGCCCGGAGACCTGGGAGGCGCCTGCAGTGGAGATGGGGGAAACAGGCAGGGGGGGCCGCAGGCAGGTCCCAGCTGGTCCCTCCTCTCCGCGAGCCGCCGGGAGGCTGCGCAGCCCGCACTGGCCGCCGGCAGACTCTCCTCTCTGCAACACGAGCACTGACTCAGCCTCCTGGCCCTGGCTCAGGACACCTTCTCTGGAAGCCACTTCACGGCCCTCGGGCAGTGTTAGTCACTGCACCCTCAGCCCACCTTGCTCACACCCTGTCTTCAGAGGCTGGTTCCTGGTGCGGAGCCTGGCACGGAGCCTAGCACACAGGCAGTGCTTAGCTGGGGTCTCTGGAGGAGATGGGCGCGCGGTGGGCATGCGGGCGACTGGTATGGCTGGAGAGCCCTGGAGCTGGGCGGGCCTGGGCCGGGCTTGGCCCCTGGCAGGCCCTGGGGAGCAGCTGGGGGCTCCCGGGCCCGGATGCTTGAGCCACTCTTTGGTCACTGCCAAACACTGCAGGTGGGCGACCACCCCCCCACCCCCCCCACAGCTGGTCCTGCCTTTCCTGAGCTGGACGCTCTGGCTTGTCCCCTCTGTTCTGCTGACACCGTGCTCTGTTCTCCTTGGGGCTCACGGACCCCCACCTGCCCTCCAGAGCCCTCTGGGTTCAGGCGGTCTTGTTTGCCTGCTGCATGTCCGCCGGCCCCCACTCCTAACCACCTGCACCCCCGAGACACCGTTTGGTCTCTCCTCCCTCACGGAGATGCTCTGTCATCAGGCTGTCATCTGTGTGAAGGCACCCCAGTGCGGGCCAATCCCTCCCCCACCCCTCCCCAGGTCTCTGGGGAAAGGGAACTTCCGCTTGCACACTCCAGGGGCTCCACTCCAGGCTCGTTCACTCCACAAGTACACGTGGAGTCCCCGTGTGTGCCAGGCACTGTGCTGGGTGCTGACGGGCAGAAAGATTTGGTCCCTGCACTCAAGGAGCTGCTGCTGGGATGTGTGTGTGTGTGTGTGTGTGTGTGTGCACGCCCGTGCGCGTACACAGACCGTGACCCAATAAATAAGAAAACGTCAGGAGGTAAATAATTTAAAACAGGGGGATGTGCCAGGGGACTTTGCATTGGGTGGTCAGGAAAGGCCTCTGAGTGGAGGTGTCATTTCAGCAGGAACTGGAATGACAATAAGCTCCAGCCAGGCTAAGTCCTCGGGAGAAAGTATTTACAGCAAAGGGGGCAGCCGGGGCAAAAGCCAGGCCGAACCCACTCAGACAAACCAACACAACCAGTCAGCTTTCTGCGCTCCCGCCCTGCAATCCCGGCATTGCAGACTCAGCGATATCGTCCACCCTGCCCCGGGATGTGCCGGAACGTTCTCTCAGCACTCTGGGCAAGGGGTTATGCAGGCTTCCCGAGGACGCCTCTACGAACAGAGACGCACAGCCCTTCACAGGGACTGCCTGGACCCTCTGGTGTTGCTGAGCTAGAGGGCTCGGTTGTACCCAGCAACTATTCTTGGATCCCAGGAGCTTCCAGGGGGTAAGGGTGAGGGTGTGCTCAACCTCTCTGCCACCCATCCGTGGGCTGGCTGGGACCCACGCTGCCCCCACGGCCCCGAGCTGCGGAGGCCGTGGTCAGAGCTTTCTGGGGAGAAGGGGAATGGGGAAAGAAGACAAAGCTCTACTTTTCTTTCGGCCCCAAGAATGCCTAACATTGGAAAAGGAGAGGCACTAGGCGTGAGTAGTTTTAAGGGCATAGTGTTTGTTTTCGTTTGCACTGTTTTTCTTTCCGCCTATAAAAAGTAATATAAGCAGGGGCTGGGGAAGGAGAGAATGGAAATTAGCATTGAACGGGTATGGCGTTTTTATTTGGGAGGATGAAAAAAAGTTCTGGAGGTGGACGGTGGTGATGGTGCACCACTTTGTGAATGTACTCAGAGCCGCTGAATTGTACGCTTCGAAATGGCTGAACTCTGCACTTAAAATTGTCATGACGGTAAAAAAAAACAAAAAAAACCAACAAAAACGTTAAAGCGGTAAATGTTATGTCATGCGTATTTTACCACGGCTAAAAAAAACCAAACCAACAAGTAACACACGCTCCCAGCTCACTGCTCTAGCCTCAGTGCCTAGCACACAGTGGGCATACAAAACAGTCATTGCTGAATGCAAGGATATGAGGGAAAAATTCACACTCGACTTGCCTCTCCTGGCCTGAGGCTCCCAACCTTTGGGAAAAGCCACAGGAGCAGGCCGGCCTCGGGGGGAGCCCTCTGCTCACCCACAGGCTTCCTGGGCCCAGGGGATGCTGCCCAGCAGAGGCCAAGACTCACCTGGGCCTTCTCTTGCCAGAGAGGGAGCGTCTCTTGCTGGTCCAGCATCTGGGCAATGACCACGAGGCTGAGCTGGCTTCGAAGTTGCCTGTGGGGAAGGAGCAAGAGGGACTGAGGGGTGGGACACTCTGAGAGCAAGTGGGCTGGAGGCACATGTCCGGACAGCATGAGAGAGGCGTGCTGCCTGGAGTACTCTGTCCTGCTCTTCTGGTTTATAGTATTTATCATTTATTTTAGAAGCAATAAAACATGATGGCAGGGTTAAAAAATAAGCAAAAGGAAAAAAAAAATTAAAGTCGGTAATTTCAGAGGCTGGCTCAGCAGTTTTTCTTCTCAGTTCGTCTTTCTGAGTATCTGTACTTACCTGCGGATACACAGAGATAAGGAACGTTCAACCGCTTTGGCACAGACCTTTGCCTTTTTTGTCCTTGGTGGCATTAGAATCTTTCGTGGGGCTAAACTTTGTTTTTCTTTCACCTAGCATCAACTTTCCTTTGGAGAAGCTGCTCACCCAGAGTGGGCACATGAGCCGGGCCCGGCCCATCAGAGTCTGACTGACTGAGCCTCTTAGAGGTCGCCTCCGTGCCCTGGTTGGAATTATCAAGCAGGGCATGTGCCCTGGTTGGAATTATCAAGCAGAACATGTGCTGTTCCAGCAGGGCCACTGGTCGGGCAGGAGGTGATCCTACACCTGCTGGTGACCATCATGCCTCCTTGTGGGAGAGCCTGGAGGATGAAGCAAGCAGAGACAGAGGACAGGGACAGAGCTCTGACAACACCCAGAGCCTGCTGTGCCTGAAGCCCCCGGCCCCTGGACCATTCAGTAGGTCAGTTGGTCATGTGGGCCAATAAAGTGCCTTTGGCTTCAGTCAGTTTGGGCTGGGCTTCTGAGTCAAGCACTAACTAGTCTTAACTGATGAACTCAGGGGGCTAGTATCTCTTCTCTTTGGGACTGAAGACCTCTGATGGGGATTTCAGAAGCTCATGTTCAGGGCTCTGATTTCCATGGGTCCTTGAGGACTAAAGGGAGCAGAAAGAGAAGAGAGGAGGGGCGTGGAGACCAGAGGATGAGGCTGGGGTGGCAGGGGCTGAGGAGGCTGTGGGGGGGTCGAGGGCCCCTCCTCTGTCCACGCTCCCTGCCATAGCTCGTCTCCACCAAGAGGGTCACATCTCTCTTGCACCTCCATACACTCTAGGAGCAGATGTCAGCCCCTGGCACGGACCTTGATGTGGCCACAGTCCCTAGTTTCTGCAGAGAGCCACCATCAGAAGAAGCAAAGGAGAGGTCCCGAAGCTAGAGGAAACATAAGGCACATGAAGGAAGACGCTTGGGCTGGAACCAGCTCCTTAAAGGGGAAATGCCCTCAGGTCACGGCACTGCTGGGGGGACCCACACAGCCGCCCTCACCCGTATTCCTGGAATGACACCACAAGGAACTGAAGGACTGGACATCTGGAACAGCCTGCCACAGGCAGCATGGGGAAATGCAAGTACTCTGGGGAGGCAGGATCCAGCCTGGCCACTTCCGGGCTTGGTGGTCCACTCTCCGCTGCAACTTCCCCAGGGCCGGGCCTGCTGCTGCCCAGGCCTCACATGACGGAGGGAACTGGGGTAGGAATGGGGAACTGGGGTAGGAACTGGGGTAGGAATGGCTCCTCGAAGTTCCTGTGGGGCTGGGCAGGCTGGAACCGCAACCAGGGGCCTTGCTGATTTTCTTAGCACTTTGTCAAGAAAGTCAGAGGGATCGGGGCGCCTGGATGGCTCAGTCGTTAAGCGTCTGCCTTCGGCTCAGGTCATGATTCCAGGTCCTGGGATCGAGCCCCGCATCGGGCTCCCTGCTCAGCGGGAAGCCTGCTTCTCCCTCTCCCACTCCCCCTGCGTTCCCTCTCTCGCTGTGTCTCTCTCTCTGTCAAATAAATAAATAAAATCTTTAAAAAAAAAAGAAAAGAAAGTCAGAGGGATCAACAAGGCAACAGGTTCTTGATGAAACGGAGAAAAAAAGCAGCCGCAAAGCAGTACCAAGATCAGTGCCATACCACATCAGAAAGGAGAACATGAAAAAGGGGGAAATGCACAGTGCAGGGGAGGGTGCGGGCCGGCAGAGTCGCTCACACGCAGCAGGTGGGAATTCAAACTGCACATCCACTTTGAGAAACTGCTTGGCAAGATCAACTAAAGATGAACACGTGCTCACCCATGACCTAGCAATCCTACGCCTAGGTACCTACGCGCGCGCGCACACAACGCAGAAGTGCACTTTAGGTACACCATTGGTACGCATACCCAGACTGGGCCCTATCGATCCAACTCAATCCTACTCGTAATGACAGTGAGCTAAAATGCTATCCAAAGTCCCGGATGATCTTCACTGTGCCACGCGAAAGAAGCCAGATTCAAAAGAATACATGTGCATGATTCAGTTCCTTATAGAGTACAAAAATGGCCAAACAGCAGCTGTTGGAAGCCTGGGTAGTGGTGATGGCTGGGGGGACGGGCAGGTTCTGCTCATGTTGCATTTCTTGCTCTGAGTGCAGGTTTCCCACGGGTTCCACTTGTGGCCACTGAGCCATGCGCCTACGGTCTGTGTTCTGTTCTGTTTGTATGTTGCAGTTCAATAAAACTATTACTTAAAGAAGCAATTCAGGTGGAGGGAGAGACAGGATTGCCAGATTTAGCCAGTAAAAATAGAGGATGCCCAGTTAAATTTGAATTTCTTATTGACAAAGAGTCATTTTCTTGGCGCACGGTTCTCCTGCGCAATGTTTGTATTTTATCTGGCAACCCAGGGAGGGGCCAGCCATCCCTGGTCCATTCTGGATCAGGAAGACCTGACATTAACCAGCACGGGGCCCTCCCACACCCTGTCTCCCTTTAGCCTTGAGCCCTCTCTGCGGAGCACCTCAGTGTCCCCACCTGACCTTCTGAGAGGCAGCCTCTTTTAGCCGCATGGGATAGAAAACAGGAGTCCCTCATCATCCCCCACACTGGACTCCTGTGAGAGCAGCCAGACCATCGCCCCTCACCCAGCGCCCTACCCTCCCGTTTTCTCCCGGAGCCCTGGCCACACGGCACACCCTGCATGGCTTCCATCTCATTGGCAGCCAGGACCTGCTCTCCGGCTGTTGCCCGGGAGCCCCAGCAGCAGCTGGGCCGGGAACACAGTGGGAGGTAAATGGCCCCTCTGTGCCTTGCTCCAAAGTTAACTCGCAGCCAGAGTCAGAAGTCCTGCATCTGGGCTTCGTTAATCCAAAACCCAGGCCCCGGAGGGCGGGGAGGGGCCAACCTGGGGGCAGGCCAGCGGAGCAGAGCCGGGGTGGTTCCAGAAGGGAAGAAGCAGGCTGGGTGGGTCAGGACAGGGCTGTTGTCCAGAAAAGAAAAAAAGCACCAGAAAAAGCACCGGGTGAATGGATGAAAAGGAACCCACATCTGAGGGTGGCATGCTCCCCCTCGCTGTCCCCGCCTGCCCACTGCCTTTCATTCTGACGGCCCCCCTGCCTTTTAAACACAGTCTCCTGTGCTCTCAGTTCCCACTGGGACACAGGGACAGGGGACAGGACCGCTTTTTAATTTTAGACTGAGACCTTATTCTACGGAGGAGAAAACACAAAGACTCACCCCAAATAACACCCAAACTGTGCAGAGGGCAAGCAAAGGGGCCCCGTGGGCCCAGCCAAGGTCGGCCGGGGGCTCTTCCTCTCTCTCCTAGAAGCTGCCTGACCCCACCCGGCAAGGACTCCCCGGGACTCAAACCGGACGGATAAAGGAGGATGTAGAAGGCACTGGAGGCATCCCAGCCACTGTCATATAAGGAAACAAGCCCCAGCTCTCTGTGCTCACACCAGGCCAGGCCTCTGCCTCAGCCCTGCCCCCACCCCTGCTCCCCCCACGGGCCTCTGTAAGATCAGGACACTGGATCGGCACTCAGAGGAGCCTAAGGCACTGCGAAATCTGGAATCCACAGCAGAGCTGGGAAGTGGAATGCAGGCACTCTGCTTCCCAGCCTCCGGCCTTCCCTCCAGCTCCTGCAAGGGGCAGCCCAGCCAGGCACCGGGCACCATGCTCGAACTCGGAGGAAGGCAAAGGCGCTAACCAGTGTGGGCCGCTAGGATGTTGGGACAACCACCCTGGTCAGTGCAGCCCCCTCTGGCGCCCCTCGTCTTCACTTGTTCGGAGGGGAACGAGGCCCCGCCAAGGCTGAACTACCCTAAAAGGCCATCAGGCATCTGGCCAAAGGCGTGAGCTGCCCTTTCCATGTCTTTAGGGCAGTTCAGGAAGCAACAATAGTGGCCTGTTCCGCTGTGGAAATGCTGCCCAACACCCTGCCTCAGGGCATCTGCCCGCCTTGCCTCTCGGGGACTGTCCATGCTGCCTCTCAGGCATCACGGCCACCCCTCATGCCACCGCCTCCGCCCACCACCCCCCGCCCGCAGTCCTTCACTTGGAGCCTACCCTGCACGTGAGCACGTACCACCCAGGCGGGAAGAACCAGGGCCTGGGCTCAGAGCTTAGGGCAACCCCCTTGGGAGTCTGCCCTGTCATCCACACACATGTTGGGACACTCGTGAGTGTGGGCATGCACAGTGCAGACAAGAAGAGACGGCCACAGATCCGTACAAGGGACCGTCACACGGCAACATGAAGGGTCCATCCACAACAGCTCACTGCTACATGGACGAATCCCACAAAGTGTTCACACTATGCCAAGAAAGCCAGACACAAGAGAGAACACTGAGCACGGTCCCATTTATGCACAGGTTTAAAACCAGGCAAAAGGAAGCTATGGGATAGAAGTCGGGGAAATGGTTTTCTTTGTAGAGGGAATGCCTAGGAGGGGCTCGAGAGGGCTTCTGGGGGGCGGGTGACCGTCTGCCCTATGATATAGTGGTAGTTACACAGACAGCTCCCTTTGCAAAGTGCACTGAGCAGCCACCTCTGATGTGTCCTTTCCTGCATGGATATTATATGAATAAAAAGGTTACTACTCTTGGGCGCCTGGGTGGCTCAGTTGGTTGGGCGACTGCCTTCGGCTCAGGTCATGATCCTGGAGTCCCGGGATCGAGTCCCGCATC